TGATATAGATGCTTGCCGAAACCTTCTCAAAATAATTTCGTCATATCCTTTTCTATGTTTTTAATATAGTTTCAACAGTTTCGGCTTTCGTCGTATCGAAAGGGTTTCGTCGTATCCCTTATTATGATTTTAATATAGTTTTGTCTAAGTTTCGACTGTTATTAAGGGTTTCGTCTCTCATCATTAAATGATAATGAATTATTTGTCTAATTGAAGTTGATCAGTATTATTTTAAGCTAATTTATAATTGAATTTAAATTCTAAATTAATGCTAATTATTTTGTTTAATTAAAGTTAATTAGTAATAATTTAAATAATCAAAAATATGATTAAGTAGCTATAAATAATATCAAAATCAGCTTAAATTTGATTATTTGATTTCTAACTGATTTGGATATTTTGATTAATATTATTAAATTTTATTAAAATATAAGATTTTGATTTTTGCTATTTTAATAAATTTATTTTATGATAAATCTCTTATTAAATAAATAAATAAATATTAGTTTTTATTATTTTTTTTTATAAAAATATTTAATTTTAAAAAAAAATTGTTAAATATATATAAAATTTTAAAATTGTAATTTTTTATATATATTTAAATTATTAATTAAAAATATTCAGCAATATATTAAATGAAAAGATTATAAGATATTTATTATTTTTTATATAATTATTTTACATTTCATTTTTTATATAAATTGAATCAATAAAATTACTTTTAAATATATATATAAAATTTTTGATACAATTTTTAAATTATATTATGATAAAAAATAAAAATTTAAATTTAATTTATCTAGTTTAACTAAAATTTTTTTTTGTTTAACTATTTGTAATAAAAGCTTATATAATTTATATTATTTTAAATTAATGATTTTTATTATATATATATATATATATATATATTCAAATATATATAAAAAACTTAAAATTGAATTTAAATCTAATTTATTAATAAAATTTATGATAAAGTTATATATTTAACATTATTATATAACTTTATTTATAAAATATATATATATAAATTAAATATTTAATGATAAAATATAAGTGTATAATAATAAATTAATAGTAATATATAATATGATTAAAGAAAATGGTAATATTTTTTAATAAGAAAATGCATTTATACAAATATAAGCATTTATAAAATATTTTGTTAATATTTGAAATTAATATTAATAAGGCTAATTTAACAAAAAAAATTTAACATCTAGTATAAATGTATTAATAAAAGCTCAAGCTTCAGAATATTCAAAATTTTATTAAAAATGTTTAAAATCTTATATAATTTATGTAATGCTTTTTTATGAACTGATATTTATATATTTTTTTTAAATGTCTATAAATTTCTTCACATTTTCTAGCCAAAATATATATTCTTGATTTTCTTTATGAGTAGAATATCTAAGTATATAATGTGATAAATCATCATTTATACCACGATGTTCTAAATATTTAATAAATAAATGTCGAAAATCCTTATATCAAAGGGGGGAATTTATAAATAAATTAAATGATGAATTTAGATAATTAATTATAACTTGGAAAAAAAAAAAATGGTTATTATAATACTTACTCGGCTTAAATTAAGAAAGGGAGTAGCAATTTTCACATGATTTATTTGTGGAACTTCGTAAAATGAAATATTGTCAATTAAAAAACCACCTTCACGAGCAAATGCTTCGAATGCTAATACTCCTTTTTCTTTCTATAAACAAAAAACAAAAGTTTTCTTTTTAATATATTGATTTATCACGAGAAAAACGACTCATGCGTAATTTACTTTTTCGATCGTTATAGCACATCTTAGAGTTTTTTCAGGATCTGGTTCTTCTTCAAAATCTTCCTATGAATAACAAATCAAAGGTAATGTTAACGACCTTAATTGCCATGTCAACTTTCTATACATTTTTTTAAAAAAATTCTTTAATCTATCAGAAATCATTTTTTCCCAAAAGTAATTCTCATCAATTTAACTCAGATGTCCCTATCTGATTACTTGATTTATCATCATTAAATCTACCATCTCATTTTCGATTATCAAAAAAAAAAAATTCATCGTACGTACATCGGAAGAATCAATTAATTCTTCGTTTTTACCCCCTTCATATGTTGCTGATGTCGCCGTTGTTTCTTCGGATTGTTCTGAAATTTCATCTACTTCCTCTTCCTCCTCCTCTGCCTCAGCATCAAGAAATTCTGATTCGTCACCCAGAAATTCTACTGGTGTAACCTTGAAAAGGATTCGAATCCTATCGTTTTAACAAAAATTTAAATGTAAGAATTAGTTTAAATAAAAAAAAAACTTTAACTACATACTTTTCATCATTAAATTCTCTTGTCAAATTAACC